ACACACACACACACACACACACACACACATATATATGCATATATACATATATATGGTTATATATATGTATGTGTATGTGTATATATATATGTATTTATATATTATTTATATATAAAATATTGCTGGGCACATGTGTATGTATGCCCAAAATCCTGAGGAGAGAATGGAGAAGGGATTATGGCATGGCCATCCCCTCTGAGGTGTGATAACTCACTCCCCACTCCCCCGCCTGTCTCTGGCAAGCACACACATCCCATGGCAGAAACTAAGAAAAAAGGATGAAAAGCAGAAGAGACCCCAGCTAGACTGCCTGCCCTGTCACCCTGTAATGCCTTCACCATGTCAAGAGGCAGTGCGAAGGCCGTCACCCGGTGCTGCACCTTGATCTCGGACACCTCAGCCTCCAGAGCTGCTAATGTGAAAAACCTCTTTTTTTCCCTTTGAAAAATGTTTTGCTATAGGGCACATGTGCTTGCTCAAGACAGAGACAGAGAGAGGGAAAGTGAGAAATCAGACCACAGGGGAGGATGGCCATGCCACAATCCCACCTCTCCCCTTCTCTTCTCAGGATTTTGGGCCTACACTCACATGCACCTGGCATGTTTTTCAAACCACTGGGTCCAGAACTTGAACCATACAGCCATCAGCCGTGTGGGATTCAGCCACCTTAACCTCCACGCCATCTGCTGGGTTCAAAACCTCCATTCTTTTTTCTCTCTTTTTTTTTTTTCCAGAGGTTTTTGCTATAGGACACGTGTGCTTGTCAGAAAGACAAAGAGATAGAAAGTGAGAAATCACCCCCCAGGGGGGGATGGCCACACCACAGTCCCTTCTCCATTCTCCCCTCAGGATCCTGGGCACACACGCACACGCGCTGGGCATGAATTTAAGCCACCGGAGCCAGGACTCGAACCACAGTCGACTACATGGGAGTCCAGTGACGTAGCCATTATACCAACTGCTGGTCCTCCTAAAACCTACATTTTTTATGAATGACCCAGTCTGTGATATTCAGCTGGAGTGACAGAAAACGGTCCAAGCCAATGTGTGTTTAATAGGGTGATGTTTCTCCATGCTCCCCAAAGCACGTGAAGTCACTGGTGCACCAACAGTCCTAGCGGGGGAGGGGGGCAGTAAGGGCACCACTGCCTGCGGTCTGCTTCCCTCAGGTCCCCCCGCGTGCTTAACGTGTGGTGTCTGCTTCCCTCCACGGCCGAAAGGGGGAGCAGGTTCATGTCAGCTCCACACCGTAGGCCAGAACCACCCAGCGCACAGAATTCCAGGACCTGAGCCCAACCCAATGGTTAAGCTCTGCACACGGAGAGCAGGACCCACATGGCTGACTGCAGTTCGAATCCCTGCCCTGGAGGCTTAAAAAACATGCACGTGTGTGTGTGTGTGTGTGTGTCCAAAATCCTGACAGGGCAGAGAAATGGAGAGGAGATTGTGGCATGGCACGACCACACCCCACTGTAGAGTGCGCTCTCTCTCTCTCTCTCTGGCGAGTGCTCATGCCCACTGGTAAGAATAGCTAGCTAGAGATGACAGGTAGATTGATTCCCCGGCCTGTGTGGACTCAGTGGGAAGAGTGCAGTGGTTGATTAGCAAAGGCTGCCATGGAAGTGGGAGGGGTCACGGGCCCTGTCCTACTGCCTGGATTTATCATTCACATTTTACAACTCAGGTCCTGAAAAGTCGAGTAGTTTTACTAGGCCGTAAAGCTAGGAAAGAAGAGAGTCAGGATTTGAACCTAGGTGTGTGTGATTCCAAAGCTTGCTGTTTATTCTTTATGTGTATGTATGCCCAAAATCCTGAGGAGAGAATGGAGAAGGGATTATGGCATGGCCATCCCCTCTGAGGTGTGATAACTCACTCCCCACTCCCCCGCCTGTCTCTGGCAAGCACACACATCCCATGGCAGAAACTAAGAAAAAAGGATGAAAAGCAGAAGAGACCCCAGCTAGACTGCCTGCCCTGTCACCCTGTAATGCCTTCACCATGTCAAGAGGCAGTGCGAAGGCCGTCACCCGGTGCTGCACCTTGATCTCGGACACCTCAGCCTCCAGAGCTGCTAATGTGAAAAACCTCTTTTTTTCCCTTTGAAAAATGTTTTGCTATAGGGCACATGTGCTTGCTCAAGACAGAGGCAGAGAGAGGGAAAGTGAGCAATCAGACCGTATTGCAGTTTTGTTTTGAGGGCACACGTTCTTTAGATCATAGGCCATTTT